GCAAACCGGCGGCACCGCCCAGTTCGGGCGAGAACGGGGGCCGAGCAGAGCAGAGCCGAGCCGGCGGGGTTTAGCGCCGAGCGCGTCCCGAGAGAAGGGCGCTGGAGGGAGGGCGGCCGCGAGAGCAGACTCGCCCCGGGTTGCGCTGGTGCCAGTGAAGAGCGTTCTTCTGTGTCAGCATACTTTTTTCTTCTTTTGCAGGTGTGTCAGGGAAAGACTGCGGGGAAGCCTACCTGTGAGCAGAGCTGGGCTGCCACACACAACAGCGGACCGTCCTCGTTGGATCAAGTGGTTTGAGCCGCTGCCCTCTTTCATTTCTGCAGCGGTTCTCTTGTCACTGCCGCGTGCTGAGTGCCTAGGAGCTGGTCACCCGGGATGCTGAATCCCTTGCTGAAAAGGGATTAGTGGCAGGTGTTCCTTGACTCGCTCTCCGGGAGTCAAGTGTTGGAGACTGGGCTGCAGCCTCAGGTGGCGGGTCCACAATCCTGCAAAGCAGTCAATGCACATCGCCCCCGGAAGGACAAGCAGACAAGATGGCAGGCGAGTAGCAGTGAGCTGACCATGAGGGAAGAAAACCAGGCCAGCCTAACAGGAGGCAAAGGTAAGAGAATTTCAACGCGGGGAGTCAGAGAAACGGTGCGAAGAGAAGGGACTCTGGACAGAGGGACCTCCCTGCCATTACGTCTCGATCATATATTAGCCACGTTTTGCATGCATGAGCCTTTGGGTGATCTCCCTGTAACCCAAAGATGGGTCTCAGCCCTCGATGATGTTGCACTTCTGCAGCAGTTGAATGCAAGGTGGAGAACCCTGTAAGCAAGGCGTGTGTCACCGCCATCTCATTTCTAAAGGCTGTGGATCTGGTTGGTGGTCTTGTGCAGTGCAGCTGCCCTGTAATTGGGGTCCAGCACAGCTGCCAGACATGACTGCTGGTGGCGCAGCCTCCTGTAAGCAGGATGCGTGCTGCTTCTTACCATGCAAGAATGACAGGCGATTTGAACATGTGTAGCGCTGGGTGATCTGTAATTGGGAGCCCAGGTCTGCTGCCATAGCTAGCCAGCTGGGGAGGTGACCCTGTAAGCAGGGTGGGCGTAGCCTTGTTTCTGTAGCCTGAGAGACCGAGCAGTCTACAGCATTGTGCAGCAGGACGGCCTTGCAGACAGGAGCCGAGTCTCGTTGATCAGAGCAAACTCTTTAGAACCCGGAGCCTGATGACCTACCCATGGCTGGGTTGAAGTCTGTGGCCTTCTCACCTTTCCCTGTGTCCAGGCATCTGTCCCTCGTCCTGCATCTATGCCTGGTACTCCACCTCTGGGCCACCCTGTAACAAGGGTGCAAGTCCTGTGCTTCTTGGTGGGGGACTAGCGGGGCTAGATGTGTCATCGTAGCCTTCTCCTCACCTAGGGGGTTAAGCACTGGTATAGATTTCTGTGCCTTCTGGCCTCGGGGAGCATTAGGCCCCAGCCTCTTGATACTTTTGTGCACATGACCTTCCTGTATCTCAGGGTACAGGTCTTAGGCCCCCTCTTTTTGGGTGGCCAGCATGGTCCTTTGGCCACTTGGTAGCTTACATGAACAGTTCCTGCCATGCTTCTTGAGGGCAGGGTATGTATCCCAGACCCGAGTGCCTGGAGACGAGTGTCCGGGCACTTGGCCAGCCGTTTTTCTGCGTTGCCCCCACCCCCGGCCTGCGGCCTGTAAGCAGGATCCACGTCCCCTGGGTTTTCTGGATCTTGTTCCAGTGGGTGAGGTTGGCCAGAGACGATAACCACGGGCCACAGGAAAGGTTGCAGTGCATTGGCACCCCAAGGCTTCATGACCTTCCTGTAACTCAGGTCCAGGTCTCTTCTCCTGTGTCCTGCTGCTCTTGGCACTGTTGAGAGGGCCTCTCCCTGCACCCTGCAAACAGGGCTGCACCCCCGACCTGCTCTGATCCTGGGGGAGGAGGCTTTGTTCAGTCCTTGGGGCTCTGTGGCTTCGGTGAAACAACGCTGAAGTCCTTTCGTCCTGGAGGGATGTGGGCAGTGGAGTCCCCCAGGGCTCAGTCCTGGGGCCTGTACTGTTCGACGTATTTATCACCAATCTGGACATGGTTATGGAATGCACGCTGTCCAAGTTCGCTGACGACAACAAGTTGTGGGCGAGGTGGACATGCTGGAGGGGAGGGACAGGATACAGCTAGGTAATTTCTACCTGTCCATCTGTCCCATCCATTCCTATGCTTGGCTCCAATGCAGTTGTTAAAACGCACCCCAGTTTTTGGATATGGAGAACTCTTCTTCTTCCTTACTTTCCCTACAGCTATGTGTTTAGTTCCTGACCTCCCAATATTACTGTGTTGTACAAGCTCCACTTCCCTCTTCCTCCCACCATCTCCACCTCCCCACAGACTGACTGCAGCTCTGTAAGTCCACTGTACTGGGAGCTTGAGTCCCTCATCCACCTCTCCCGTCTACAACCACCCTGAAACGGAATCTAGAAAATGTGTGGCTATGATTTAGCAATAGGGTTGGCGGGAGGGGAGGAGAGGAATGTGGGAGAACTAGAAAGAAGCCTTTCAGCATGTGCCTAATCCAGTGCTTCTATCTTGACAGGGATCTGGGGCCACAAGTAAAGAGTTAAAGCTCCAGGTATTGAGTGTCGGCAGTGGGGGTGAAAGCAAGTACGGGTACCACAGGGAAGAACTGTGGAGTTGAATAGGCTTTCCCAGTGTCACTAATGGCCCCCTGAAATTGTTATAAGGGTTAGGGTCATGCAGTTGTCCTGGGATGGCAGGGAGACCTGAGCTGCTCTGTTTCAGTTTGTGGATCTGGTACATTACTGAGATGCTATGTGGGTTACAAACTCTGGAAAAGATACTTCATTGGGATTTAGATGTAGTACAAGCTCTGACAGTTTTCAGATGTCACCTCTGCCAGCTGGGTTGTGGGACAGATGTTTTCCTTACTAATTTCTCTGATACCTGGAAGTTGCCCATGGCATAACATTCTGGTTGCAAATAAAGAAGACTGAAGAAGGGCCGTGTCCTGGAGCGGGGTGAGTGTGATGCAGTGCTGCCAGGCTTCTGCCCAGCTGCTCAAGGCAGCTGGCATATGCTTGTTCTCCCTGTTATAGATGTGCTGCTTGGACATGTCATAGTCTTCCTTAACCTCCTTAGCAAGCAGCCTTCTGGGAAGCAGGCCTTTTCACTGACCCCAGGTGTGGGACATTCAGTGGCACCTGTTGCTACCCTTATGTTGCAGGTAAGCTTATGGCTTAGGAAAGTCTGTGAAGTGCCTGCCCTGGAACAGCTGCAATAGGTGACCGTCCTTGTAAGGAGGTGGAATTTGGGTTGTGACCTAGGAGGTTCTGGGAAGCTCTAGTAGCATCTCTAGAGGTGAAAATAGGGCACTGCTGTTTCCCTTCTCCTGACCCTCCTGTAGGAACTATATATTTGCTCAAATCCAGTACAATATTTTTGGTTTGTTTTCCCCATTCAATATTGAGGGGGGGGCAGGGGTAGGGGTCGTCTTAGATTTGAGTAAAAGTCAGGGGCAAGCAGTTGCTCTGGCTCTGGTTCTGATTCTGGCCCTGATCCAGGTTTGGTTTGGGCTTAGAGCTATAGTCACAGTTGCTGCCACTGCTGTGTATGCTTAGATGCAGCTCTGGTCCGGCTCTGGCTTGGCAGTGGAGGCGGTGGCAACGCTAGCTGCAAATCTGTGTCAGGGTCAAGGCCTGGGCTGCAGCTGCTGCTCACCACTGCTCCCCACCTTGGTGTGGTCTGGAGTCCTGAATTGAGGGTACACAATGTGGGGCAGACAGCAGGGGGGATGAGGGGCTCGGCTACCACGAGGTGGGGAGGGCAGGTGGCAGGGGCACAGGCACACCACAGGGGAATGCGGTAGGGTGGGAGGCAGGGGGCAGGTATGGGAAGACAACTCTCCAATAATTAGATTCTGTACATTGTAAATTATAACCATATTATAAATTTTCCATGTGCAGAATCTAATTACTCGGGGGTGGGGGTGGCTTAAAATCAAAGTTACCTTGGATTTGGGTAAATATGGTAACTAAAGGAAGAACAATGATCATTGCTGGCTGCCTGGTCTTTGTGACTGGAGACCTCTGTCTTCCTGGCCTGATGGACCCACTGGGTCGGTGTTGCCTCTTAAACAGCGATGCTAGGTAGGCCTTCAGCACTTGGGTCTAGGACCCGCCTGCTCACTCTGGGTAGATGTAGAAAGTGCAGACTTAGCAGAAGCTCCTTCTGTGACTAAGGTTGAGGAAGAAAATCACGCCCCTCCTGGGGATGGCCAATACAAAGTGTCATGTAGTATGCATCTTCATTACTACACCATGTCTAGCCCAAACCTCTGAAGAGCTCAGCAGGATTTTCTTTTGTTGTGATGTATGAGGGGCCTGTGCATCCCAGCCAATGCCTTTGTACCTGGGCGGTGCTCAGACGGTAGCTCAGCATGACTCCTTTGAATCCTCTTCTCAAAGGCTTTCTACCAATATTCCCCTGCCTCCTTGAGTACCCAGCATACTGCATCACTCCGCACCAGCATCGCCCCCACAAAAAAAATTGAGATGGATCGTATCATCATGCCTGATGGCACTATTGTGACCACTGTCACCTCCATTCAGTCCAGGCCCAAAGTGGACTGTAAGCTGGGTACGGTCTGATTAGTAAGCAACTCTTAGACACGTTGCTGGTATCTGTAGCGAGAGAATAAAGCAGCTCTTAATTTCACCAGGCTTAGTCCTATAGCATGTGGTTAGCTTTTGTAGCTGTCAAATGCAGCAGTCCCTGCAAATGTGCTCATCATGTAGATAATGAGAGTGGTGCCTGCAGCCTGTGGTGTGGGAATGGGATTATTGGCACTGGGCGATGCTGCTGTTCTGTTGTTGGCATCATGCTGTAACTGGGAAAGTACACTTGGCACCCAGGGCCTCCACTTCTGCCAATTCTTGCTCTGCTACTGGCTTCCTGTATGACTGGGGAAATCAGTTTGTCTCTCTGCTTCCATTTCCTCATCTCTGAAGTAAGGCTGATGCTGAACTGTGGTGTTCCTCATGTCAGCATTGTGCACTAAGTACTGTCATGTGCTGAGTAGAACCAAATGCTTTCCATCTTGGCTTGGTAGCATTCCCTAGCTTCAGTTCCAGGTGGGAACACTGACACACATTGCACAGGACTGCGTAGGAGACCAGTGTGCACTGTGACCAGTGTCCGGGATGCTACATGACTTGCTCCATGTTTGATGGAGATTTAGAAGGTTCCCCACTTTTACACGCTGCTGGGTGGAAAGGTTTTGATGGACCCAGTGCCAAAGTCTTCCCTGTTAATGGGCAAAGTTTGTGCCTCGGGAGGTGGTATTTCAGAGTCAGGGCGGCTAGGATCTGGAACCGACTTCCAAGAGAAGTGGTGCTGGCTCCTACCCTGGGGGTCTTTAAGAGGAGACTAGATAAACACCTTGCTGGGGTCGTTTGACCCCAGTGCTCTTTCCTGCCATGGCAGGGGGTCAGACTTGATGATCTGTCAAGGTCCCTTCCGACCCTACAAACTATGAAACCTTAGGCAGGTCCTGTTCCTCCTACTGCTGACTTTGTGCCTTCCTTTCTTACGTCTAGATTCACCTTCAAAGACCTGTGTCCAAAGTAGAGGTGACGGGGAAGAACACAACGGTGCTTTCAGAGAGCAGCTGTCGCAGCAACACCTCACCCAGCAGCATGCGTATGTCCTTTGATACCTGAGACCTTCCTTAGTAGCAAGAAGCTCCATCCCCGGTGGCAAAATATAACTCATTCTCTTGGCTGTGTTGTGTTGGAGACGCTCACTTGATTAACATGGTCCTTTGTAGAAGGCAGGGTAGTTTTGCACCTTATAGACAAACCAAAGTGTGTGCATGTGCATAAATACACGCACACAGAGCACAAGGCTTTAATGGGCTGAAGCTCACTTTATCTAATTCTGTGTGTACACATGCATGTGTGTATGTGCACGTATATGTTGTCTCTGTGGTTAATCTATAGGGTGCTTATCTACTCGGCCAGTTACTTGACTTGATGCTAACATGGCTAAGTGTCTCTCTGCTTACCATCCTTTGCTTCAAACAATACTTAAAAATACTGGCGGGGTGGGGAGAGAGAGGAGGTACGGGGGGGTGGGGAGGAAGATGGTGAGGATGGATTAGTTAACTTTGTTGTCAACTCTAAGTTCCTTGTTGCCGATCTGGCATATCCATAAGCTATCTCAACCTGGAGGGCTTTACAAATTCTGTATTTGTGAGTTGCTTCTCTGCCCCTGGCTAGAACATATTCTGTTAACCAGGGCATGACAGAAATTAGCTGGGAGTTCAGGACGAGAATTGAAACTGAATTCCACATGCACCTGAAGCTGCCTGAAAGAAGGAGATAGTGTCCAGATAAAGTGATCAGAATTGGAATGTTGCCAGGAAGTTAGCGTTATATCCCTAATTTATAAATGTTGGAAAACTTATTAATGCTTGTAAGTGGCTTGAGACTGTGGCTTTAAATCTCCATTCCGTTCTTGACTTCTCCAAGACATTCTGCTTTTGGGTCAGCAGTCTTTTCATGAAAGAACTATTTTTTTTCCCCCTATGTACCACCCCCCCACCAACCCACCCACCCTTGTTTGGCTCCATGTTAAAAGGAGTTGTGGTCTGCAAGTGACTTGTCTGCTCAGGGGTGCCTTTTTTGTGACTAGGGGAGAGTCATATGTGCAATGACTTGGATCCTGTGGCAGAGACAGCGATGAGGCAGTTGACGGAAATAAACAACACATCTGTCAAGAAAAGCCCGATTAAACGCAGCACATTGATTATATCAGGAGTTTCCAAGGTAACTAGTAGTTTGGGAGCTCTGCTGAAAAACTGCCTGATGACTGTGTATAATGGCATGTGCCGTCCTGCAGAGACCCTTAGGTCTAGGACACATGTAAAGGAATCTCCTTAAGAGTGTGAAGGCTCACCCCCAAAGCATCCTAAGCCTCATGAGTTGCATTTGATTTTTGTTCTCAAGGGGCAGTTTAACCATTTCAGGTGCAACTTTAAATCTTGTCCCAAAACAGACTTCTTGTCCTCCAGTTCAGAGACTCAACAAGAAAAATCTTTGTTGTCTAAAAATAGGAAGGGGAAGAGGTAGCCTCATGAGAGGAAAGTTGTAAATGTGACTTCAACTAATGGCTTCCTTGTTTGACCTCTAAATCCCCTTCAGGTACCAATTGCTCAGGATGAAATGGCACTTTCTCTTGGCTATGCTGCATCTATGGAGGCAACAGTGCATGGGGATTCTGTGGTGTCTGGCACTGACGAGCAGATGCAGAACTCAGCTGAGGCATCCCAGTTGCTGGAAGCATCCTTCTCAGGACAGAGGTCCAATCAGGAGCTGGATGAAACAACACAATCGGACATCTCTGGAAAATGTTGACTCTGAAACTAGCTCTACTGGAGTCCTTGAGACCAGGAGCTTAAAGGACCACAAAGGTGAGGACCAGTGTTGCTTGGAACATGAGCCAGTCAGCCTTACATACCTGAGGATAGTGTGATGGTCACGTCTCGTGGCTGAGTAAGTGTCCGCTTGTGCAGTGGGTGATGGTAACTTCATTCCTTATCTGTTTTGCTAAGCTACAAGATGATGTGCTTTAGGCAACATGTTTGTGATTACGTCTGGAAGATATGTCAAAGCAGTCGCTTTCTAGCGAACAGCCAACCTGTGTTAGCAGCACAAATTGCAGGAATGGGACTTGGACTGGAGTGTTCTCCCAAGTAGGTGTGCAAATAAAAGGAGCAAGCAAGTTGCAGTGTCAAATACAAGGCAAATGTGAAGTCAGTTTTAAGACTTATTTTACCAAGTGTCCAATATCATAACTGCTAAAAGCAATGGGGCAGCTGATGGAGACCTTGCGACAGAGCTTTTGTGAATTAAGAGTTGGGAGTTGGTGAAACTACTAGTTGTGTGATGCAAGATAGTAATGTAGTTTGCCTAATGAAACAAAACTTGTCTGTGTAGGTGAAATACTTACTGATGGAGAGATGCAATAGTCTATAAATGGCATGTTGCATTTTTTTGTTTTTGAGCTCTAGAGGCCGAATGAAGTCAGCTTCGTGCTGCATGGAAACGCAAGTGCAGATTAAAAAAAAAAAAAAATTATTGATGGCGGGGGGTTTTGTTTTTTTGATTGTCCCAAGCCAAATCAATTCCAAATCCATGAGTCATTCGAGAACCATATGTGACCTTACTACCAGCAAACATCCTCCACCCCCACCTGGGGCTTCAGATGCTTCCAAATCATTTGGCAGGCATCCTGTGTGCAGGACCAAGCTCAGAGGCTTGGGGTTCAGATGCCCCCAAGTTCTGCTCACCCTCAGCCATATGGCCACAGGAGTAAGCTAGAGAGGAGTCTCCCATTTTGATAAAGTGGGCATAAAGCCAAGATCTTCCCATGGGAAATGAACATAGGAGGTTAACTACATGTTACCTCCACGGGTACTATCCCGTGTCAGAAAAGCAGTTATCCTGAGCGACTAGAAAAACCGCTTTAGTGGTCGTGGTATTTCTGCTGCCAGGTAAGTATGGAAATGCAAGTGCATATCCCTGTGCTAGCTTCAAAACTAAGTGGTAGTGCTTCCAGTTCCAGAGCTAGTTGGGAGCGGGGTGTTCATAGGGCGGTGTATTTAGGGTGGTCATTGGTCCTGTTTTATTCTGGACTATCCTGTTTTAAACCCTTTGTCTCCTCTTGGCTTCTGAATGAGGAATGGATGGCAAAAGTCCTGTTTTTCAGTTGGTGGCAATTTTACATGTTAATATTATTTGCCCTCGCAATTCTGTGGGCTGTGCACAGCCAGGAGGACCAGGGTCCTAGCCAGCCAGGGTGGCTCCACCTCTTGCGGCTGGTTGGCTAAGGTGGCAGCCCCACCCCTCATTGCTGTTTGGCAGCGAGGCCTGCCTGTCGCCAAAGAGATGTCCTTAATTCTGGGGATGCTAACTGTACTGCACAATATACCCTAAGGCACAGGGGCTTTCAACCTGTTTTGGTTGAGGTACCCTCAGCGGCCAGCCCAGAAGCAGGGAGTCGCCTGGCCGGTGGATCGTGCTGCATGGAAATGCAAGTGCAGATTTTAAAAAAATATAGATTGATTGATTGATTGATAATTGATTTTTGTAATTTTTTTGTCCCCCAGGCCAAATCAGTTCCAAATCCGTGAGTCATTCAAGAACCATATGTGACCCTAGTACCAGCAAACATCCTCCACCCCACCTGGGGTTTCAGGTGTTTTCAAATCATTTGGCAGGCATCCTGCGTGCAGCGCCAAGCTCAGAGGCTTGGGGTTCAGATGCCTCCAAGTTTCACTCGCCCTCAGCCATATGGCCACAGGAGCAAGGTAGAGAGGAGTTTCCCATCTCAATAAAGTGGGCATAAAGCCAAGATCTTCCCAGGGGAAACGAACATAGGAGGTTAACTGCATGTTACCTCCGCGGGTACTACCCCGTGCCAGAAAAGCAGTTATCCCAAGCAACTAGGAAAACTGTGCATTTCAAAACTGTAAGTGGTAGTGCTTCCAGTTCCAGAGCTAGTTGGGATTGGGGTATTTATAGAGCAGTGTATTTAGGGTGGCCATTGGTCCTGTTTTATACTGGACTATCCTGTTTTAAACCCTTTGTCTTCTCTTGGCTTCTGAATGAGGAATGGATGGCAAAAGTCCTGTTTTTCAGTTAGCTGGTGGCAATTTTACATGTTAATGATTTGCCCTCAATTCTGTGGGCTGTGCCCAGGGGGTAGGGCAGTGCACAGCCAGGAGGCCCTAGCCAGCCATGGTGGCTCCACCCCTAGCTGCGGGTTGGCTAAGGTGGTTGGCACCCCTCATTGCTGATTGGCAGTGGGGGCTGCCTGTTGGCAAAGGGATGTCCTGTGTTCTGGGGTTGCTAACTACTGCGCAATAGACCCTAAGGCAGGGGCTTTCAACCTTTTTTGGTTGGGGTACCCCCAGAGGCCAGCCCAGAAGCAGGGAGTCCCCCCGGCAGCGGGTGGACAAGTGCGTGTGTGGGGCGGGGGGAGGAAATTGGGGGTTCCTCAGTGGCAGGTGGAGGAGGAGCGGGTGTCTACCACACCAAAACAAGATGCTGCGGTGGGAAAATCAGAAGTGTTGCCGGCAAAACTGGAAGTGCCCCCAGCTTCTCCGCTGCACTGCCACGTGCTTCCTGGGGCCTTCCTAAGTACCGGTTGACAACCCCTGCCCTAAGTTGTCCTGAGGTCATAACTTGCTCGGGAGTATCATGACAGGCAGAAGAGCAATGGGATGAAACTGAAAAAGAGAACTTCAGCCAAGCATTTGGAAAAGGATTTTTTTGTAACAGAAAGGAAGGAGTCTTGTCCATTCCCAGTGGGTTTAGATTTATGGTGCAGCGTGACATTGTGGTCCGTGCCTCGACCAAGGAAGCAGAGACAGTGTGATAAGCTAGGAAGAAAATAGGATATTAAATGATTGACCTCTACCCCAACACCCCTGCATCCTGTGCCATTGCTTGGCCACCTCCATTGCAGGACATTTCACTGCCACAACTTGTCTTCTATGGCCTGCAAGTTGTAAGGACGTGCCTGGCACTTCACATTTTACTTTTAACTCTCCCTCCTTCCACCCTTCTCCCCCGCCACCACGTCCCCAAAGCAAGACCTTTCATAGGTAGTTTTGGATCAAACATCTGTCACGGTCTGCGCACCGATTCCAACAGAGGTTTGATAACATGAGACATGTGAAGCCTCCCGGTGGCCACTGAGGACAATTTCCCTTGATGAAATACGAAGTCTGAGAATCGGTTGGGCACACGCGTCTGACGTGCAAGGGGCTCAGAGCAGTGGAATCGAGCAACTGTCCAATCTGCAGCCAGTTTTCCACGACGGAGACCCGCAGGCGGACGAAGGGGCAGCTCCGGAAACGCCAGTGCCCCCGCGCGCCGCGAGAGCCCCGCCCCCGGGCTGGACTTCCGCCTGCCAGCCAAACCGTGGGTGGGGGGGGGGGGCAGCAGTCGAGCAGGGGGCTGAGAACGGCCAGAGCGGGACCCCCGGGACCCCGCCACGGCCAAGGTCTCCTGTTCAAGGCGCTTTTCCAGCCGCGGAACCGCGGCGTCCGTCCCCGCGCGCGGAGCTCAGGCGGGAGCGGAGCCGCCTGATCCGCAAGGCGCTGGGTCCAGGCCACAGGGCCGGCGACTGATGAGGGGCCACTGCAGGCGCTGCGCAAGCGCACTAACCTAGTATCGATAAACTCGGCGTTTAGCTGATCCGCCTGTCGATGCGCATGCGAACTTGCCTTGCCAATTGAAGGGCAAACTCGGTGCCCACAAGTACCCAAGTGCGCATGCGGGGAAATGGTAGCTCATCCACGTGTTCGTCACCCGCCACCTCTACTCCGCATGCGCAGTGGTTTAATGACCCCCCCCCCCC